TAGCCATAGCTCCGTCCCCATCGTCAAACATGCCTCCTACCTCCGTCTCCTTCCTCCTTCCGATTTTCCTCCCTCTTCTTCCTCGGGAAGCGAGGAAAACAACGACGATCTAACCCTCTCTCCTCTTTCTCCCTCTTGTCCCTTGTCCTTCTCTCCGACCTCGCCATGAAGGGTCAAAGGGTTCATGACCCAAACCATCAGTACGGACATTCTGCAGATTGTCGATGGTTCAGCCTCCTGATGAGTCGGTGCAACTCCGATGAAACAATCTTTCATCATCAGTTTTATTTTTTTCGGTCTTTGCGTTTTTGGACTTGTGTTTTTCCTTGATGATTTGTGTGTTTGTGTGTTGGCGTGCCCTGTTGCTTCATGGCTCGCTGGTGTTCTTCTGGTTTCTCTGCCCTGTTCACCTAGTTGTTGCCTATTGCTGGTTGTCAGCCTCCCCACCTCCCCTGTTCCCTCCAACTTTTGTTCTTTGGTGTTGCTGTTGTTTTTCTGTCCTTTCGCTTCACGCTTCCTCTGTCAACCATCATTCCGAGTGTATGTTGTTGTTGAAGTCTGAAGTTCTTTTGTACGTTGGCATGCCAGTCTCAGTCTTAGACTAGTATTTTGCTGCACGTAGCCTTGCGATGTGCTGTTTTAGGGAAGGTCATCTGGTGTGAAGCTTTTATGCTGGGTTCTTGTTCGCAGCCCGTCAGGGTTGTGTTTTATGCCCCTGAGACATTGAGACATTGAACATTTTTCGTCGTCGTCACCAAACGGTGCGGTAGTTGGAAGGGTGGTGTATTTGCTGGGGGTCCAATTCGTGGGAAATAGGCAGTTCAAGGAAGTGCAAGACCGGTAGCTGCCCGTGGCATTAGGGCCTTGAAATTTCGAATCTGAAACGGCGTGGACGCAGGACTTGTGGTGAGTTAGGGCGGGTTTTTAGGGGGGGCGCCGACTGGAAGGCGCAGGCGGGTCCAATCTTGCAATTTTCAAGCGCCAACTTTGGCGATTTTTCGTACGCAGAATAATTGGAGAAAAGATCTGAAAATTTGATATCGGGTAGGCTAGGTCGTGATCTTTCTAGGAAACATATCAACAAAATAAAATAAAAATCGTCTAAACCATGAAATAAATGCCGCGCCAATTCGTCACTTTTTCCATTTTTGCACACAACAACTTGTGGGCCAACGGGAAAAGTACCCCTATTTTAAAGTTTTTTCACGCTCAGAAGAACTCGTAAACAAGTCTGAAAGTTTGAGGGTCCGTAGATTTGGTCATGATCTTTTCAGGAAAAATGTTTAAAAAAAAAAAAAAATTGTCTCAACCACGAAATAGCTTATAGCGCAAATTCATCCCATTTTCCATATTCACCATTCTGTCGGTTCTCCACTCTGTGCTACTGGTAGCCCTCATGGACCTGTGATACCGGTCCCCCGAATTTCCAACGTCAGGTAGAGTAGTGGTTTGAATTTGAAGCCTGTCCTGGTCGAAATCGAAACAGGCCAAAAGCAGCGGCGACCGCTCCCGTTCCCTTTGCGTTCACAAAGTGATAGTCTCCCTGTGTGCGCAAGGAGCGTGGTGCCTTATCGATCGAGGCGGTTTGACAAAGTGGCGCCGCGCCTGATTTCTCTCTCTCTCTCTCTCTCTCTCTCTCTCTCTCTCTCTCTCTCTCTCACACACACACACACACACACATACACACACACACACACACACACACATACACACACACACACACACACACACACACACACAACAACAACATCAACAAATAAACCACGGGCTGCGCACCCGTGCCCTCACGATAAGTCAATATTCTTACCACTCTCACATTCTCCTGTCTATTGATGGGGAGAGCCACCCGCTGGAAACTGGGTTCAGCGTCCCATGAACATCACGAGTAAAGCACCAACCGGGACCCCACACACACTCTCTTTGAGTTACACTCTCTTCGAGTTGTGTATAGCGAACATGAAAAAACATATATACTACCGCATAATCACTACCTTTTTCCCCCCCCTGAGACATTTCAACATCAATCAAATTTCAACGTTGGTGGTCGTTGGGGAGGTCGGCATTTTGAGGTTTTGGGGCCTTTCATGGGCCAGGACCGCATAGGACCGGTAGCTGCCTGTAGGAGGCCGAGGAGGCCACGCTCCTTAAGCCTTCGAAATTGAAACGGTGCGGGTCCACTTTTCTCGAATAGCAGAGCACCTCGAATAGAAAACGTACACCTTGTATTTGAATAGAACAGGTTCGCAGCCCGTCAGGGTTCCGTTTCCCCCCACTGAGACTTTTCAACATCATCGAAACTTCAACGTCGGTGGTCATCGGGAGGGTGCGCATTTTAGGTTTTGGGGCCTTGCAAGGGCCAGGACCGCGTAAGACCGGTAGCTGCCCCTACAGTAAGACCGGTAGCTGCCCCTACAGTCTTCCCCCAAATACAACATAGGGTCATTATAGCTGAATTTGGTCTATCCTTCAGTCTAAATTCAGCTGTAATGACAGTGCGTTGATCCTTGCAAGGGTCAGGACCGCGTAGCACCGGTAGCTGCCCCTAGGAGGCCGAGGAGGCTGCGACCTTTTACGAAATTGAAAATTCCAAATAAATTACTACTTTTTTTTTTTGGAGGTCAGCGCCTGCCCTTGTGCTCCCCGCCACTGACATGCTGCATGCTGCAGGTCTCTCTCTCTCTCTCTCTCTCTCTCTCTCTCGCTCTCTCCATATATATGTATATTTGACGATATATACATATGCCTCTCTCTCTCTTGCGCCCGAGTGCGTGGGGGCCTCGCGGCCTCGGCTATGGCCTCCTATTTCTCTTGGACGCGCGCGCTTCAGCGGACGAGCGTGCACAAGCGCGAATGAGTGCACGTCGCTGCACGCTCATCCGCCTCTTCGGGACCTTTCAGGCCTTTTTTTTTTTTTCTTCAATTGGCCGCCTGTTGGGAAGGACTCCCCCGGGCCCCTACCGGGAGATGGCCGGTTCCCTTCCCCGCCACCTTTGGCCATGAAAACCCCCCCATCCACCCTTCCACCCACCGGGAACCGACCTCCCCCTCCCTCCCCCAAAACGCGCTCGAGGCGCTCCAAACGCACTAGAGCGCGGATTTCAACGCCGCTCAAGCGCCCCAACTCTCCCTTTCCTTCCCCACAAAGGTAGAGCGGAGCTTCAGGAAACGAAGCAGAGTGAACAAGTGAAGAGAGAGAGCACGCAGAGAAGTCGCAAAGTTGAAGAGGGAAAAAGAAGTAGATTAAGCAGGAGGGATCGAAGGAGGAGGAAGACTCATAAATCACATCCGACGATGCAGACGTTGATGATGATGACGACGATGATGTTGAAGATGAAGATTATGAAGATTACCAATCGTTGTCGCCCGTTTTGTCTAAGAGTAAGAGGTCATCAAGCCGCTGACGAGTCCGGAAAAAAGCACGATCCCCCAATCAACAATGACAATGCCCATGACATACCCTACTCCGCGTGATGAATGTCACCGAATCTCAACCCTCCTCCCTTGATTCGCAAGATGTAGAACACTGTACACTTAACATGAAGACCCACTCCCATGACGAAGTAGCTACCCGTCTTCCCCCGAACATAACGCACCCTAAAAATGAAAGTATACAAGCTATATTTCGGGGCAGAGAGGAAGGTAGAGTCTAACCTCTAGTGAAACTAGAGATGATTGGAAAGGCCAATCAAAATACGGCCAAGATAAGGGTGCGTTGTGTTCGGGGGAAGACCGTAGCTCTCCACTTTCTCTAGCACGCCAGCCTGTGACGCCGCCTACCGCCTTCCCCGGAGCATAACGCACCCTGATCATGAATGTATAGAAGCTCTCTTTCCCGTCCGGTACATGCAAAATGAGGGTGCGTTATGTTCGGGGGAAGACGGTAGTACAGCACGACGCAAAGCACCCCTCCCTTAACACAGTCATCGAATCACCTCCCACTTAGCCGTCGCGCCCCCATGCGTCAAAGTAAACAGCATGCAAGCATTTGCCGAGGCACTGGAGGCAGGACACAAGCCACTGCCCCCCCGCCCCAAATCATCAGCGCGGTGGTGCTTGCGCACGCGCATGCTGACGTGTCAGCGCGGCAATCAGCATCGCAGTCAGCAGTCACACCCGCCCATCGCCGCCGTCCGCACCAGCCTGCGTCCTTGCTGGGATGTGCGCGGCCAGCGCTCTCCACTGTCGCACGCTCAACTCTCAGCTGAACTGACTTATGTCTTAACGTATCGTTTCTATACCTAAATGCCTCCAAACTGAGGGCCAGATCCCACTGGCAAAGAGGATTGGAATAAGTGTCTGAATCAGGACATGTTCCACGCAGAGATGCAGAAAAGCAGAATCAATTACAGTTTTTTGCAACTCTCCACAAACACGTCCAGATTCAGATACTTATTCCAATCGTCTTTGCCAGTGGGATCTCGCCCTCAAACCGCACTGTTCTCAACTTATCCCCTAATATCATGGCTCAACCGGGGCTCCCTTTTTTTTTTCTTTTCTTTTTTTTTTTTTTTT